GGCTTCGGAGGGCGGGCCTGCGGGTCCCCGCGGGGCCTTTGACGCTGACTGTGCGCAGTCCAGGAGGCGCGCAGCCCCCTCCGCCTCCCCCCAATCCCAAATCCGGAGAGGGAGGCCTTGGGCCCGTGGTCTCCCCTGGGAGGCTGAGGAGAGAAGGCGGACCATCCTCGGGACACCTGGCCGCCGAGGGCCGGAGGACAAGGGCTGACCCCCCAACACAAGTGCAACTTCACATGTTTGAACTTTGTTCCCCCGTGCAGAGTTTGTGCCTACTGTTGGAGGAAGATTCTGGACTGATCTGGAAACTGAAGTTGTGAAATATCCGAGAGACCCGCGGATAAGACAAAATTTAGGGTTTTTTTCTGAATCACAACTTCGATGATGGTGCTCCTAATTTTACAAGTACGCTGAGGTTGAGTGTTTGGAACACTGAGCCAGTTAACCAGGGACTGTGAAGAGGTTTGTGAATGATTCAGACAAATGTCCCCTGGACACTAACAGCTGCCCAGAGCTTCCTTTAAAGATAAAGTTGTTGGCTCCGCCCCACTCATTAGTATTTAATTATTAAGGTATTTTTACTTTATGAAAACATATCTTGGAAAAGGCTCGATGACTTAATGAAACAGAACAATGGAAAACCTTACAGATACTACTTTTGTGGGAAGGTCTCTTAATTTTATTGTCTTATAAATGGAACAGCAGATGTTGTCCAATATAAGGGTTATAGTTTGCCTATATGTCCATAACCAATGTTTTGGCTTGCCTTCCAGTTAATAGGGGTTTTTTGTCGTTAATTTGGGGTGTTGTTGTTTTTTCCCCAGCAAAATAATTCTGTTAAAAAAAAAAAGTTAGCCTGGCATCCGTGGTTCATGCCTTTAATACTAGCTACTCAGGAGGCTTAGATCTGAAGAGGGTGGTCTGAAGCCAACCCAGTCAGGAATGTCTATGAGACTCTTATCTCCAATTAACCACAGAAAAACTGGAAGAGGGAGCTGTGGCTCAAGTGGTAGAATGCTAGATTTAAGCAAAATTATCTAAGGGACAGTGCTCCGCCTCTGAGTTCAAGCCCCAGAACCATCCTCACATACACACACATAAACAATTGTAAAAAAAAAAAAAAGAAGAAGAAGTAGCAGAAGAAATGATCAGTGCTTTGTGAGTGCTAAAATCATTTTGCCATGTTAGAAGACACATTTTTAGAAGAAGATATCTGGGAATATAAATCAAAAAGAAAACCCAAATCAGTACATCTAGATAAGTGCTCAGAAAAGACTCCAAAGTCGATTGAAAAAGTGACAGATGGAAAATACCAGTCAAAACGCAAAGGAAACAAAAAAAGAACCACAGAGAATAAAGAGAAAACAAAGGACCATGACATAGGTCTTGGGGAAACAGATCGTCAGACTTCCATAGTTTCTAGTCAAAATTCAAGTTGGAGAGATGGTATCAAACAGTCCCAAGACAAACAGAGTACTCCACACAGGCACTGTAAGACTCACAAAAACAAACAAATGTCCTCAAAGATACGTCCAGTTTATGATGGATACTGTCCAAGCTGCCAGATGCCCTTCTCCTCATTGCTGGGACAGACACCTCAATGGCACGTTTATGAGTGTTTGAATTCTCCACCAGTTTCTGACATAGGTAAGATTATAGAAACGGTAAGTTTCTAAATAGTCTGAAAAGCCAGCATTAGCTCAACCATCTCAATTCACTGTAACTCAGGGTAAGCAATAAGCTAAAGTGAGACATTATTCCAGTCAGTGGTATGCTTGGAAAGAAAGTTGTAAACCTGAAAGTACTTTTGATACATTTTATTTTTTTCATAAATGTTTCTAAATATCCCAATTTTTAAAAAATTCATGTTCATTGAGCCTTTTTTTACATAGCTTCACAATTGCCATATAGAATAGGTGTTCTTAAAAAGTTTAATAATTTGCTCAGTTTGTGATCTTTTTTCTGGAACCAAGTAGAAAAGTATAAATCATTTTTGTTTCTAAATACGGTTGTGTTCTGTTCAACATGTTAGTCTACAGGAAGGAGTCTCAGGTGACTTAAGATTCTCATTATAAAAATGTGCCAAATTACAGAAGTCATGCTGTACTTTTATTATCTTTCAAAATAAATATCAAACTTAACATGGAGAAAATTCTACTTCGTCTATATGGAGACTGAATTATAATGAGTATACTTGAAGTCTCAGAAGGTTTTTTTGTTGTTTTGTTTTGTTTTGAGAGAATAGCCAGGCCCTGGGTGGCTCTGCCTGTAACCCTCGGCTGAGATCTAAGGACTTTAGTTTGAAGTCAGCCTAGGCAGAAAAAGTTAACCAGCAGAAAGCCAAAAGTGAAGGTGTTTCTCAAATGGTAGAGCAGCAGCTTTAAGGGATAAAGCCATGTAAGAGCTCCACACCCTGATTTCAAGCCCCAGTACCTACCAGATGTGTGTGTGTGTGTGTGTGTGTGCGTGTGTGTGTGCGCGTGTGTATGCGAGCGCACGCACATTTGAAAGCATTTTGCTTTAAGGTAAGAATTAGTAACTTGTAAAAACATTTTGTATTAGGTGTTGATTTTTTTCCCCCTCTGGCAGTATGGAGGTTTTGAACTCAGAACTTGCACTTTCGTAAGCAAAAGCACACTATTGCTAACCCTATACCTCCAGCTTTGATTTTTGCTCATTATTTCTGAGATAGGGTCTTGCTTCCAGCCTAATTTCAGTCTGGAGATCTATCTGTGTCAGACCTCCAGGTAGTTAGAATAATAGGTGCATATTATTGCATCTAGCTCATTATTGCAAAAGTATCTTGAAAGCTTTTCTAACTGGGCTGGCCTGGAACTGTGACCCAACAATTTCAGCCTGGTGAGAAACCAGGATTACAGGTGTGGGTCACAGAGCACCCAGGTAAGTGTTGGTATTTTAATACCGATGTTTTGATTGTGCAGTTAACAATGGCTAGTGTTAAAAGTCCTCCAAGGAACATTCATAGTTTTCCACTTGCAGGCTAATTTAAGATGATCTTGTAATACTTTTTTTCTCCCTTCATTGAAATTTCCAGAGTGTCCTGATGGTTTTCTGTGTACTTCAACATTTCCTTCTCATTATAAGAAATACACTCACCTTCTGCTTGCTCAAAAGAGGGATAGCAAGGAGCCTTTCATCAGTGTGTCACCTGTATCAAGTGGGAATATCTGTGAGACTAAGCCTGGCTTCACTTGTAACCTTGAAGAAAGATGGTCTCAGCACCCAAAGCAAACTGAGAGCTTAAGAAATGTTTCCAGTGATCCTTTATTGAAATCCCAGTGTCTAAAAAAGTCACAGTTTCTAACTGAAAATAATGAAAAAATTTCTACATCTGAAAATTCTAAACCACCACCACAGGTTGCACAATTTACAGAATTTGTTAAGAAAGACAAACTGGTAGGCGTTGCTTTGCCTCTGAGTACTGTGGAAGAAGTGGACAGCCAAAGCAACGCACGATACACAAGCTTGTCACTGCCAGAAAATGATTCTGACAGCTGTGAGATCTCCTATTCTCCACTTCAGAGTGATGAAGAAACTTATAATGTAGATGAAAAGCTGGATGATTCACAACAGGAGCTATTTTCTACTAGAAGCTCTAAAGATGGCAGCCTTGAGGATGACAACAGCTCTGCTGAGTTGGAAAGTCTCCCTGGTTCCTTCCCGAAGGACTCAGAAGATAGCTGCTCCCAAATGAGTCGCTTTTTAACTCAAAATGACTATAATGAAGAATTGTATAACTGCAGTATTCTCAATGCTTCGTCTCAACTTACCTCCCAGTCTGAGAGCAGTATTCTGTACAATGAATCCACATGTCCTGATGATTATTCTTTGTTGTTTGCACCTGCATTAAGAGGACAGCTTCCTCCTTTTAACTACCAAACAGCCAACAAGTATGCTAATGAGCCACAGTTTCACACATCTCAACCAGATAAACAGAAGCTAGTAGTTGAAGAATCAGCTGTTTACAATCAAGTTTCTCTGCCTTTCAGAAGCCAGGGAGGCCATCCAACCCAAAGGCAAGTGAGAGAATTGTCAAGTAAGAATAGTGCCAACTCAACATGTGTCTGCAGAAAGGCATTAAAGGGTGTGCTAGATGGTAGTAAAGTGACAGTTTTAAATACAGAAAAATATCCTAGTACACCTGCTAAGTCTTCTATGCAAACATCACCCTCTAGTCTTAAGTGCCACGCAAGCCAGCCTTCTACCAAGGTAATGAAGCAAATGGATATAGGTGTGTACTTTGGACTGCCACCCAAAAGAAAAGAAGAGAAATTGCCCAGGGAAAGTGCAGTAAAAGAGACAGACTCAAATCTAGTTGTAAGTCCTCAGGAAAAGAGGTCCCGGCAGTGCAAGAGAAAAGCAGAAAAATCTTTAAGTGATTTAGAATTTGATGCAAATAACTTAAATGAGAGTCAGCACTCTGTGGAACTCTCTGGGGAGAGATCACAACGGCGAAGAAAGAGACATAAAAAGTCAAATTCACCCCAGAAAGGAGCACAGCAGAAAAGGTGGGACAGAACAGAAGCTGGAGCAGTCCATTCAGATGCAGACAGTGTCTTTGTGAACTCAGCCTATAGCAGGCCACAAAGAAGGAATGTGAGAATTCCAGAAGCATCTACTACAGGAGAATTAAGAAAAAGGACATGTCCATTCTATAAGAAAATACCTGGTAAGTTGAAATATCAATGCCCAGTAAACCAAAAAAGACACAATGTATCTTAATCCATATCTGTTATTCATGGGTGTGTTCATGAAACAGTCCTTAGTACTATATATGATGCTTCATGAACCTCTTAACATGTTGCTTTGTCTGTTTTTGCTTATTTTTGTTTTCATTTTTTGCTTTGTTACAAAACTTGCTAACTACCTGTTAAGTAGATATTCTAGGCCACTAAAAGACTAGATAGAAATGCAGCTTACTATAGAAGAAGGAAGGCATCCATAACAAGAGTAGAAGTGCCTCAGTGTGTGTGAGAAACATAAAGTATTAGCCAGGCACTGGTGGCTCATATCTTTAATCCTATTCATCCTATCTGTAGGGTCACAATTGAAAAGCCAGCCTAAGGAGAAACTTAGACTATTATCTTCAAAATACCCCCCAAAAGTGTGGAGGTGTGTGTTTAGTGGCAGAGAACCAGCTGAGCAAAAAAGCCTAGCAAGCAAGTGCAAGGCTTTGAGTTCATACTCCAGTATTGCAAAGAAACAAAAGAAAAGGGGAAAAAAAAAAGACAAGAAAGAAAAGGAGGAAGGAAGGAAGGGAGGACAAAGTACTAAATAGCTACAAAGAAGGAAAATATGATGTAGAATACCTATCATATTTTTAACCATATTAGAACTGGGTTTTTGTGCCTTTTCCTATTCTTATAATTTCTCATGCCCTCACAGATGAGTTTATTAAAAAATGTGTAGTGAAATGAATTTTATTACTGAAGAGACCAATGAACTTCTGGGAAGAATAAAGCAGGAAAAATAGACTTGATTTCAAAAGATTTTTTTGAAGAAATGCTTTATTTATAGATCCATAATTTGTTCCAAATACTTGCATAGAAAGTAGCATTAATTTTTATATTTAATAGTTGTTGTGACAAACTTTTATACTTTTAAGTGAGCCTAAAACAAGTGTACCAAGTGTTGATAGACTCAACAGAGTTGTAGTGTTATGTTTCGTTACTTGCATTATTGTCTGTCAGCACACTTAGATATTTATATCTTTCATGAACACATTGTAGACTATTTTGTGAACTTCCCTTGTACTTGCTATTCTACCATTCTACTTGAGCCATGCCTCCTGCCCCCTGTTTTTTGCTGATCAATTGGAAATGTAGTCTAAGGAACCTTTTTGCCCAGACTTGCTGAGAACTACAATCTTCCAGATCTTAGGCTCCTGAGTTGCTAGGATTCATGAGTGAGCAACTAGCTTTTGCTCTTTAGGAAGATTTTTAACACTTCATTTTTTTTTTTTGTTTTCACTTTCCTTTCTTACACCTTGAAATGAAATTCAAACACTGTTATTTCATTGTGACTCTTTGAAAGGCAAAAACTTTTATACAATGCAAGATTATTTTGACTCTGAACCATTTTTGTCTGTTAAGAAGTATGTCGATATTGCCCCCATTGAGAATTTCTGGATCTAAATTTAGTGGTTCTAAACTATTCTACTATTGCTATTTTAGGTGCTAAGCAAGTATCACAAAAGTATTAACTGAAACCGAAGTGATTGAGTTTAGCTTAGTGTCTTTTACATTTATTTTTGGACAGGTATTCATAGAAATAGACAGACAGATGGACAGATAGATTAGATAGGTAGAATTAGAAGATATGGGGGATTGAGGCTCGGTATCATCTGGCCAGGACTGGTTCTGTTAACTCTTGCTCATTATGCTATGTTGGCATTTCATTGCAGGTACTGGCTTCACGGTTGATGCCTTTCAGTATGGTGTGATTGAAGGATGCACAGCCTACTTCCTCACACATTTCCATTCTGACCATTATGCCGGGCTGTCTAAAAGCTTCACTTATCCAATCTACTGTAGTGAGGTAAGTTTCAGTTTTCAATTCTGACTTTGTAGAATTCTGTGAATTTCTAAGCAGTTTGGTTTTTTTTAAAAAAGACTCTTAGTCAGATCATTCTTCTAGGAAAGGTACAAGAAATTAGGTTCCTCATGGAAATTCGAAAACCAGATGTTATTTCACACTCTTTTATATACTTATCCCTCCCAGTAGCTGGGAGTTTAGGTACATGCCACCATGCCCAGTTTATTGTTTGAGATGAATCTTGCTAACTTTTGTTTTGCCTGGCCTGGGGCTGTAGTCTTCCTTGAGCTCTACCTTCTAAATAGCTGGAATTACAGGGTTGAGCTGTCTTATCCAGCACATAACCCACACTGTATCCATAGCCAGGCAGAAGAAAGAGAGAAGATTCCAGACAGAGTAGAGTTTGTGTAGAAGCACAAGCACCTAGGAATTATGTCTAACCCAGGCTTAGTATGGCAAGAACTTGGAGGCTCTAGGACATAAGCCTATAGCAGTGGACAAAGGCCAAATGACTAAACTTGCATGCATCTGGCTGGGAATGATGAGCTTTTCATATGTAAAAGCTGGTCAGCAGGTGGAGAGATTGACAGTGTGCAAGCAGAGGAGTGACATGTTGTTTTAGGTGTAAGGGGCTTGCTTACTTTAATCAAAGTGGGAAAACAGACGTTAAGATGTTGAGGTTTTATTTTTTTATTTCATTTTTATTTTTTTATCAGTAATGGGACTTGAACTCAGGGCTTTGGCGCTGCCCCTCAGCTTTTTCATTCAAGACTAGCACTGTACCACTTTGAGCCACAGCGCTACTTCCAGATGCTGGGGTTTTAAACTGGATATAAAACACAATGCTCCTTTAGTGTTTACTTTATCAGCAAGTAAGTACATCCTGTCTTGCAGGTAACTGGCAATTTGTTGAAGAACAAGCTTCACGTGCAAGAACAATATATCCATCCACTGCCAATGGATACTGAATGTACAGTGAGCGGCATCAAGGTTGTTTTGTTTGATGCTAATCAGTGAGTGTTCAAGTTGCCTTAACAATTGCCCATTTAAAAATATTCTAGAGGAGGGCTGGGAAGGTGGCTCAGTGGTAGAGCGCTTGCCTTGCATGCTCGAGGCCCTGGGTTCGATTCCTCAGCCCCACATAAGCAAAAAAAAAAAAAAAAAGCTGGAAGTGGTGCTGTGACTCAAGTGGTAGAGTGCTAGCCTTGAGCTGAAGAGCTGAGGGACAGCGCCCAGGCCCAGAGTTCAGGCCCCACGACTGGACTCCCCCCAAAAAAAGAAAAAAAATATTCTAGAGGAAAACACATTGGCATGGCTAAGAAACATCCTCAGAATTAATTTCCCTCATATTTGCTAAAACTTGAGTAAACCATGTTTCTACTTTCAGAAGAAAGAATATGCCTACTTGTAGAATTAGATATGAAATATAGTTTCTCTGTTGTCTAACCCATTTATTATCCAGTTTAAATTGCTATACTTGATATATAAGACCCCATTTCATTTTTAAGACTACTTTTGTTATTGTTGCTGTTCTTCAAAACATAATCTTTTACCATTTTTATATAAATAGAGTAGCCTGTACTCCATTTAGATATTACGTGAGTGGGCCTGTGCTCCCCACCCCCACCTTTAAACTAAATTCTTAAGGTTTTTGATACTAAAGATTTATAAGATTTTTTTTCTTGGAACTAGTTTCTATTCTCTTTCCTCTTCTCCTCACCATTCATGTTGACAAAACACAACTAACAACTAGACTTCTTTCTGGGCATTAGTTTCCTGTTCCATTAAGAAAGAAGTAAGACTAAGTTTAGTTTTCCTAAAATCCAGCCCAATACAGTTTCTTCAGGTTGCTTTGTTTACATTTTTGTGTGCTGGCTTTGCTGCTTTTTTTTTTTCCTTGTACTAATATTTGGGCTTGAACTCGGGTCCTCTAACTCTCACTTAGCTTTTTACACTAAAGGCTAGAGCTCTATTACTTAAGCCATACCTCCACTTCTGGCTCTTTTCTGGTTCATTAGAGATTAAGTCTTTTGGATATGTCTGCTATTTCTGTTTTGATTGCCAGTTTGAATTCTGATTTTTTTTTAAAGTCAACTTTATTGGGGTACTCACATGGATCACACATTTGGCATGAATGCCCTGATGAAGTCTATGCATCAGACATACAAAACACTTGTTGTTGTTATTATTATTTAAGTAGTTGAACAAAGGTTTCATTTTAATAATCTTATCAAACTTTTTTGGGGAATGTGCAGGGTTTGAGCAACCCATATTTGGTGAGTCTTCCTGCATACCAGTTCTTTAATGATGTAAATTTCCTTGAGTTTAAGCATTTCATTTGCACTAATAAAGGCTGTGTACTAATAAAGTATTACCTTGTCAATACTGAAATAAGTACCCTGTCTTAGGTGCTTTGTATGTGTAACCAATATTCCTTTTAATTACTGCATTCAGCTGTCCAGGTGCTGTCATGATCCTTTTCTGCCTTCCTAACGGTGCTGTCATGTTGCACACTGGAGACTTCAGAGCAGATCCCAGCATGGAGCGCTCTCTCCTTGCTGCCCATAGAGTGCACACACTATACTTAGATACCACGTAAGTGAGCACACCACAGTTCTTCTTTCTGCTGCTCCCTTCCCGGGCTCCCTATTCGCCACATAGTATTTGCTTTGAGTTTTATGAATAAATTAAGCATTTGCTTAGGTAATTAGAATGGTGACCTATTGCCAACTATTTTTTAAGGCCGTTTATCAGAAGGATACTGTTTGAAAAAAATATATTAGCTTGGACAAATGGGATTGCATGAAATTGCAGAGCTTCTGCATGGCAAAGGACATAGCTAGCAAGATCAATAGAAAGCCCACAGATTGGGAGAAGATCTTCACTAGCCATACAACAGACAAGGATCTCATATCTAAAATATACCTGGAACTCAAAAAATTAAATCCCCCAACAACAAATCTTCAAAGAAACAACTGCCCAATAAATAAGTGGGCTAAAGACTTAAAGAGAAACTTCTCTGAAGAAGAAAGAAGGATGACCAATAGACACATGAAGAAATGGTCAAGCTCCCTAGCCATAAAAGAAATGCAAATCAAAACAACATTGAGATACCATGTCACCCCAGTTAGAATGGCTATAATCAAGAACTCTAATAACAACAGATGCTGGAGCGGTTGTGGACAGAAGGGAACCTTACTGCATTGTTGGTGGGAGTGTAAACTTGTTCAACCACTTTGGAAAGCAGTATGGAGGTTCCTCAAAAAACTCCACATAGAGCTCCCCTATGACCTAGCAATTCCACTTTTGGGTATGTACCCAAGTGTTCACAAACAAGACCACACTAAAGCTACCAGCACGACTATGTTTATTGGAGCATTATTTACCATAGCTAAGATATGGAACCAACCCAGATGCCCCTCAGTAGATGAATGTATCAAGAAAATGTGATAGATATACACAATGGAATTCTATGCCTCCATCAGAAAGAATGACATTGCCCCATTTGCTAGGAAATGGAAAGACTTGGAAAAATTATATTAAGTAATCCAGGCCCAAAGAAACATAGGTCCCATGGTTTCCCTTATTTGCAATAACTAGTATATGTCTGAGACAAGCAGAAAAGGTCAGATAAGT